TGTCTCCGTGCAGACACCATAGGAGCGGGTAGAATGTATCATACATGTCCGACTGTAGAACGTGATAGACTACCTTGATCCATCCAACAATCTAAATAGAGGCAGTACTCCTATCGTTAGAGAGCATCTAGCTATTTCTGTTTTAAGTCTGATATATATTGTAGATTTGATCTTTCTCTCTCTCTCTCTCTCTCTCTCCTCTTACATTTAAATTCTCTATAGATTGTAATTCAGCTCGCTGTACGGGACCTGTTGTAACCATCATTAATACAACCATAGTGGAAGTAGATTTGCTTTTGAGTATCCAAACCACTTTAAAAATCGCTTCTCATTTATTCTCATTGCACATTTCTAATCAGGTGTAATTTCTAATATGCCTAGCACTTTACACATAGAGTCGTTGGTGTCAAAATCAAGCATCAACAGTTTGGTGCTAAAGGAGGGCCTGAAGTATCGCTTTTCATCAGAAACTTCTGAGATCGATCCTATCCATAGCAAATGGCTGCGGTTTCAAAATTGAGCGAATGACCTTGACAATGAGGAAATCCACCGGGTACAGGTGAGACACTTCTCCAAGTGCCGCCAGTCCAGCAGAGTACCATGGCGGATATTCCTTGAGCTACAACTGACCCAGCCGTCATGAATTACTTGGAGAGATTCAACAATACTCTCCAAACGTTAGCCAAAGGTTAGACTGGATTGGGTCGTACCACAGAGTCCAATGAGGCGTGCCATCGCCAAAGACACTCGTAAGTTGCACAAAACACAAAAAAGGGCAAAGCCCTACCGGCGTACTACAGCGCGTAAAAGTAAGGGAAAGCAAGTGCAAATAGTGACCAAGGGCTCCAAGGGACTAGCGAACACCAGTCACGCAACGGGTAGAAAACATTGACATTAAGACTCAGCACAATGTCACAGCATGGGCCATCCCTCACACGTCGCATGGGCACCCAAAAAGTGCAAGGCAGGAAGATTCCCAATATCGCCAAAATGATGATCTCGACTGTCATCATACGGAAACCCCCGTCATTCTGGTGGTTCTGACCACCATGGAAGTCGAGAAAACTCCTCGAGCCATTCAAGCCTTCACCGGCCCCAGCCAAAGTGTGTAAGGTTTGCCGGAGCTTTCGGCTGAGTTGAGGAAGAGTCCGATTTGCGGTCTTTCCTCAACTGCAACATGAGGATCAAACCACGTTGCGGAAAGTAATCCTCAGGTAGCTCCACTACCTCAGAGTTGAGGAATTACACGAGCTTAGATCAGTTAAGGCTAGTAGAATGAGCGTGGGAAGGTCGCAGAGGTGTCTCCCTTTCTCCAACAGTGTTAGCTGCTCCTCTCCCATCGAGATTCAAATGCCCAACGTGCGGGCGTTTGATGGGAATTTGATCTGTAGGATCACCTTTATGAGTTCAACGACCTATGAAACTCTACCAAATCTCCGACTTGGCCAAATGTCGTGCTTAGCATAACTTGACTGTCCATGCAAGCGCTGGTTCAAATCACTTCCCGCAGGATTAATCAGCTGTGGCAACAAATGAGCTCGTCATTCTTGAGACACTTGCAGGTAAACAAGAAGTTCTCAATGTCGTTGAACTATCTAAGCAACATACGGCAGGAGAGGAACGATCCCTCCAATGTTACATAGATAGATTCCACAGGGAACTTCACAAAGTGGCTTACACTCCCAAAGAGTCCATCGGACTCTCATTATCGTGGGGGGTTTGCCCGCGACTGACTGTGGAAAGAATTGCAATCTGAGGATGATGTTTCCCTCACTCGCTTTTACGACCTCACTAAGAAGTATCTCCGAATCAAAAATGTGGTCACCCTTATCACTAGGACCCGGCCCTTCGACCAGTGCTCCTAACCGGGGGAGAATAGTAGAAGGGTTGATCGCAGATGGGCTAATGAGATCAGCGGAAAGGAAAGAAGCAACAATTTGAGCCCAAAAAATCTATGCCAAGTCCTCTCGATCGCAACAAAAGTCAATACACTCTTTGAATGCCTCAGTGTCGGCTATTCTGGATAAGTCAGAGGAGGCCAGCCTGCTGGAGAGCCAGAGCCCATGAAGAATCTCCCTTAACCAAGAACAACAAAAAGTATTACCGTTATCATCGGATAATGGACATCACACTGATGGTGTCGGGCTCTCAAGCAAGCAATTGAAGACCTCAACAGAGGGTACTTCACGGAGTATGTTGATGGTCCGACTCCCATTCGGGAAGGATCAAGAGGAACAAGGAAGAAGTGTGTGGTCGCAAGGGTCTCTACGTGTAGGGATCATCTTTGAAGACCACACCTCACAGGGAATTCTCGAGGTGCCTAGGAAAGGTATGCTGGGAAGCTCGTCATGACCCTGTGTGTGATGAGCATGGCAGCCGCGACCCGCTAGGTTCGCAGGGAAAAAGAGATTACCTTCTAAAGAAGACGCGGTGTGATTACATCATCGCCATGAGGATGCACTCGTCATCACGCCTGAAATAGGTCGGTGCAAAGTCCACA